CGCCGGGGCAGCACCAGGCTTCTCTCCTTTGTGTTTCGTCGTCCTCCCCGATTTTTCTTTTAATTTTTTTAATCGCTCTCGCTGGCGCGCCGCTGCCGCCTTCTTCCCGGAGGGGGTGTGGGTCTGCGATTTGGCCGGTGCCCTCCGCAAAGCTGCAGCCACCGCTAAAGCATTGGATCCCTCAACGTACTGCGAGAGCCCGGTGTACAGCCCGGACCTGTGCCCCAACATGATCGCCGCGCAGGCCAAGCTGGTCTACCAGCTCAACAAATACTACACGGAGCGCTGCCAGGCCCGCAAGGCAGCCATCGCCAAGACCATCCGGGAGGTGTGCAAGGTCGTGTCGGACGTGCTGAAGGAGGTGGAGGTGCAGGAGCCGCGCTTCATCAGCTCCCTGAGCGAGATCGACGCCCGCTACGAGGGGCTGGAGGTGATCTCGCCCACCGAGTTTGAGGTGGTGCTCTACCTCAACCAGATGGGCGTCTTCAACTTCGTGGACGACGGCTCCCTGCCGGGCTGCGCCGTGCTCAAGCTGAGCGACGGCCGCAAGCGCAGCATGTCCCTCTGGGTGGAGTTCATCACCGCCTCGGGCTACCTGTCCGCCCGCAAGATCCGCTCCCGCTTCCAGACGCTGGTGGCCCAGGCCGTGGACAAGTGCAGCTACCGGGACGTGGTGAAGATGATCGCGGACACCAGCGAGGTGAAGCTCCGCATCCGGGAGCGGTACGTGGTGCAGATCACGCCCGCCTTCAAGTGCACCGGGATCTGGCCCCGCAGCGCGGCGCAGTGGCCCATGCCCCACATCCCCTGGCCCGGCCCCAACCGGGTGGCGGAGGTGAAGGCGGAAGGCTTCAACCTGCTTTCCAAGGAGTGCTACTCGCTGACGGGCAAGCAGAGCTCGGCCGAGAGCGACGCCTGGGTGCTGCAGTTCGGCGAGGCCGAGAATCGGCTGCTGATGGGCGGCTGCAGGAACAAGTGCCTCTCGGTGCTGAAGACGCTGCGCGACCGGCACCTGGAGCTGCCCGGGCAGCCCCTCAACAACTACCACATGAAGACGCTGCTGCTGTACGAGTGCGAGAAGCACCCGCGGGAGACCGACTGGGATGAGGCGTGCCTGGGCGACCGGCTGAACGGCATCCTCCTGCAGCTCATCTCCTGCCTGCAGTGCCGGCGCTGCCCCCACTACTTCCTGCCCAACCTAGACCTCTTTCAGGGCAAACCCCACTCGGCCCTGGAAAGCGCCGCCAAACAGACCTGGAGGCTAGCCAGAGAAATCCTCACCAATCCCAAAAGCCTCGACAAGCTATAGGGTTAACACCCCCGCGCACAAAACTCGCCCTCCGCAAACAACAACGGCGCCTAAAAAACAAACTTTGTATTTAACGCGGACCACGACGGAAAGAGGCGGCGAAAGAAAACGCGCCCCCGCCACCCCCCACCCACCTGCAGCTCGGCGTTTAAAAACTTGCAGACGGTTCTCCCGGCATAAACTTGCACCGCCTTGCACGGAAGAAAGGGAAGAGCCTCTCCTCCCGTCCTCTCCAATGTGAATTTTTAAAAAGTCACAAAAAGAGAAGCAATCGGACTTTTGCAACCTCAAAACGAAACCCGAAAGGTACACTTTTCCACTCCATGTATAGTCCTTTCCTTATTCTCTCTTGTTTGCCTGAATGTTGTCACCAAGTGAAAAATTATTTAACTATATGTACAAATCTCCCTTTAAAAAAAAAAAAAGTTTTACTGATGTTAAATGTATTTCGGTGCCAAGGTCAGATTATGTGCCCCACAACTGACTTGTTGCAAATAGTAATAAAAATATTACTTTAACTTTACGCTTTTCGTGAATGGTTCTTAAATTAAGGCAAGTAATTTCTTTCTGCATCTCAGAAGTAACAATTTTAAAAGAAATGGAAAAACGACAAATAGACGTAGTCTAAATGTGACATCCAGCCGAAGCCATAGCTTGGCGTATCGCTCGCGTTCTCTAAACTTCCCTCTAGTTTGTATAAAAATAGTGAATTTAAGAAAAAAAAAATCTTTTCTATTCTGTAGTTCGGCATGTGACAACATCTGCTGTATTTCTGTGACTTTAAGCTTCCTCCCTAAGCCTTGGGAATACACGGAGCATCGCCCAGCAGCTGGCCAGAATTTAGACAGGATTAGGGCATGCCGTTTCCTGCCCTGCGGCCGGCACCTTTATTTTTTTCCTTTAGAGTTTTCTTCCCTTTTTTTCTGTCCCCGGTAAATCTCAAGCGCTTGTAGTTTGTTTTTAAAATCCACGGCTTTTCGCTTTCGCTTGCCAGAGCGAACGCGCTATCCATTTGACTTTGACACGAAGGAAGTATAGATCTAGCCTAAATAATTAATACGCTTTTGAGCAACCGGTCGATATTTTTTTTAAACAAACATTTGTTTTCCCCGGATTTTTAAGTACAGCTTGAAATCGCACCCCAGCGCAGCCAGGCG